TGGTCTAATCAAATGTTCACTCCATTTCTGTTCAGTCATAGTTATCAGCCACTTAATATATGTCAGCGGTAGCACGAGGCTCTTGTCTGTTTGATGGGGAGGCAGACGGGGCTGCGGTGTCCTCGCTGAGCACATGGTCCAGTGCAAATGACAGATGCAGTTGTATAACAAACTTACAACCCACAGGAAAAGTGGCTTTCTGCAGGGAAAAATAAAGCAATATATTTAGAGACCAGAATTAGCATGCAGGGATAAAATGAAACAGAACTGAAAGATCCCAGGATATTATTGGATGCAAGAATGTGAGAAGCAAGGGCACTAGACAGAAAAGAAACAAACAAGCAAAATAACCTACCTATTCCAAAAACTAAAAGAATTCCTATGACACACGCAGAATGCTGAGAGACGGGCATGTCTGGATGAGTAAAGTATATCTCTGATCAACTAAGGCAAGAAAAGAAAATATCCTCTGTTGAGAGCGCAGTGAGAAGCTACAGCTACTCAATGGCAGGAAGGAAGCACTGGAGATATTAGTGGGAGAACTGCTGTGAGCATGTGTGCAAGGGTTCTGGGGAACTCAATCATTTGCTCTTATATCCTGAGGATATAAATTAAAGAAAAAAATTGCTGTGTATATGTTTTGTTTTGTGCTTGTTTTACTTTTTTTGTTGTACTGTGAATGAAATTCTGGACCTTTGTACTCTAATGCATCCCAACACCCCTCCTGCTTTTTATTATTTTTATTTTGCAACTGGCTATCACTAATCTGCTAACTGGTCCAGGCTGGGTGCCACATTATAATCTTGTCTCAGCCTCTGTGTGCTGGGATTACAGGCGCGAACCACTCTCCATCATAATCTATTCTACAGAAAGGCTAATGCAAGACTCTAAGAAGTGATGGTTTGAACCAAGCAATGAGGACTTAGGACTTAAGAAAATGTAGCTCGCAAGGAAATTTGTATGCAGTAGCGCAACTGAAGTCATAAGATAGAATTTCAAGTCCTGTTAAAAAGGTGAGCTGGTCAGAAGTAGAGGATTCTGCTGGGGTACAGAACTGAATACAAGCCCAGTGGCTTCTGACCCTGGCAACCGGAGGATGGTGGAGAGGACGAGACTGACCTCACAGGTGGCAGGGGAAAAAAGCTGAGGTGGGTTAAAGGAAAATGACATGTATTCTGCTGAGGCAGTGACGAGACGGGCCATGGGGCCAGCCGCTGCAAAACAAGCAGATTCTCAACGAAACACACCTTTCCTACTTCGTTCACATTTCAGGAAATAAAGGAAAGTCTCAAGGTAATCCACAAAGTAAGAAAACTGAAGCCCCAAACCTCTACATTGAGCCAGGAGTCCTGCTAAATTAGTGGCCATAACTCTCTACTTCTGCCGGACAGAACTGAAACTGTGAGTAGGGGAGAATGAAGGCTTCTTAGGTACACATTTCTGTAAATTTAGGACAGATATATCATATATATAATTTATAAACAACAAAATATATATACGGATATATGTATATATACATATGCATGGGTTCACAAAAAATACAAAACATAAACTCCTATGAGTAACAATGAAGTGGAAGGATTTCATCCCAAAGTACTTCCAGTTGTGAGATGATTAATGTAGCCGATACAATAAGTGATATAAAACAAAAATGGAATCACAAAAAGATGCATGTAATACAAGATTATCAAAAATGGCCACATTTGGGAGAAAGAGATAAGAAAAATCTGGGGTTTAAAATATAAAGTTTAAATCTGAAGGAATGGCTTAAAGATCAGATCAGACAGAATTAGCAAGATTTTTACTTATACTGCTTTGGAATATAGGTAATATGGATCTGATAAAACAACAACGAGCCCATGATTTGGAGGCAAGAGACGCGTAACACGTATTTCCTCCCATATAATAGAAGGAGCTAGGCGGGTGGGCTCCCGCCATCATGTACAGGAAGGTTCATTCGAGTCACAGCGATGGTCCTACTGTCCCCAGCCGTGGTCCCAGGTAAGTAAGTAGCAGTACACTGATGCCGCAACCCATTTAAAGGAAGAAATAGAGCCTTAAGAAAAAATAATGTTATATTTTAACTTGGATAGATCATTTTTATATACAAGTAGCCAAAATCTAGTATAATAGCAAATCTAGTGTTACGGAATCTTGTGTTTTTTTCTAACAGCAGAAAAAATTGGAAAAATTTACCCTTAAGCAGGGTGGCCATTTCCAGCTAAAACCCAGGGGCGGAATTGTCTTACTAAGTAAATGAGAATTAATAATGATTCCCACAGCAGCTCAGAGTAATAGGAGATAGAGCCAGGAAAGAGAACTTGTAGAATTAGCAATGTTCTCACATAGGCCTGGTCTGTCCCAGAAGAAAATGTCAAGGCAAGAAAACACTGAGAGGACAAATCCAGGGGTTCTGAGAACAGAGAAAAAAACACATCCTTAGAAAAATGAAATACAACACATGAAATGAGAAAAACAGAGCATTTCACAATTAGATATGTTGTAATGAGGACAGAAACTAAACAAGGATCATCTTGAAAGAAAACAGAAAGGAGATCACTGAGAGAAGAACTGCAAGCCTTCCGACAACGGCCTGCGGGTCAACGGGAGCCACAGAGGAGTACACTAATCTGCTTATTATGTGAATCTAGAATCATACACAGCAAAACCACTTCCCAACATGGATAAGTCAGATAAGTCAAAATATTTACAGATAACTATTTTACCAGTTTGTCAGTGGGCTGGAGATACAGCTTGATGGTAGAGCGCCTGTCTAGTATGTGTAAGGTGCTGGCTGGGTCAAACCCTAGCACTGAGGGGGAAAATATTTATTAGCCAGAGACCTCCTCCACAGGATCATAGAAAAACAAATTGAGAAAAATGTAGGTAAATCAAAATACACTTGTCTATATAAAATGTTAGTGACAATGTCACCGCTTTTTGAATTTCTTATAAAGAATAAAACCAAACTACTGAAAACTAACCCCTGAGTTGGAAGAGCTCGCAGTGAGAGTTTCCTAAGGCCCACTGTACCACTAGGAACGAGGATCAACATATTGAGTGCTATCGGGTCCATGTAAGTGTAGAAAGTAAAGCCCCAGATGTGGAACATTCTAACCGGGAAGGCAAAGCAGCATAAGATAACAAAGAAGCAAATATTTCATCAATCAAAAGGAACAAAGAAATCATACACAAATGAAGACAGTAGGAGGACATCGGACTGGAAAAACAAACTACAAAGTCAGTATTTTCATAGCTATCAAGTGACTTCACATTTGTAGTCTTCCTTTCATGTTATTTTGCTCCAACCACAGTGGGATAGATCTGAGGGGATAACAAGGTTATTACATTCAATTGCATCTTCTGAAATCCTTAATGTTGTCAAAATAAAATATATGAAAGTTTTAATGCTGGCTTCATTAACTCAAATATTAAAGGTGTATGCTACATGCTGGACACTGTTGTGTATGCTCTTGGGCATTTCTCTTTAATCTCTTTCAAGTTTCTATTCAGAAGATTAAATATTGCAAAACTAATTAAATGAAATTTTCAGTAAGACTATGCATAGAACAATATATCATGGAGCCTAAAATAAATAAATACAGAAGTATAAAAAATGAATTTTAAAATGTTAAGTCTGTCAGTCTTTATCATTTTATCTTACACTGAAGACAGAACTCTGAGAAAGTATACTAAATCTAAAATTGGAGTCTACCATGGTAGAGTTCTTCACTGGGCTGTTTCTTTTTGGGGGAAGTGGAGGCTGGGGGCTGGTTCTTGAAAAAAGCTTACGTAGTTGACCGAGAAATCACCTTCAGTATTATGCCAATTGCAACCTAGAAATGGTTTATATCAATCAGAACTAGGGGGGAAAAAAAGGAAGCACATCATAAGCAATACAAATTGACCATGGTTTCCTAAGATTATCTTGTACTATAAAGTGTACTTACGAGAACGAAAGTAATTTATGTTCAGATTCTACCACAGAAAGAAAGATTGTACAAAGTTATGCAACTGGTTTTATTCTAATTCCATTTCTGGAATTAAAAATTAACTTTTTGAGTATCAGTACTTTCCAAAAACTGTTGCATTCAATTACGCTCCACATGGACAAAGAGTTCTTGATTCCTGGGAAGTTATGTAACTTCAGGAACAATGGCTAAATAATTTAAGTATGGTTATTGGGAATCACTGACAGTTGAAAACATTCAGGTAAACAAAAGAAATCAGGTTTCCACAAACAAATGTTCCTGTCTCCGTAAGATTGCCACCAAGGGAAAAATAGGAAAATCTATCTATTTCAGTCTTCATTTCACACGAACTGAATTTGTCATTTATTCAGCTAGTTAATCACAGTACAATAGTAATACAAAAGTTTGATTATTTGACATCAAATCCAAAGTCATATCCAAAGGCACAGATGTTTGTATTTCAGTTTTAAACATCACATGTATTGAAATAAATGATTTAAATTGGCAAACTGTGTGGGCTTTGGGACAGGAGTACTCTGCAGAAATGGGTAAAAATTTCTAAGTAATGCAATTTTAACTCATATTAAAACTTGTTAGAACATTGTGTTAATAAAGCCAAAGTACCGGTTTATACTCCAAATAGTTCAATTAACTTTCCAAACTAATATTATGAAAGTACGACAGGCAAACAAGGAAAAACAAAAAGAAAAACTAAACTAAGAGTAAACGATAGTGGTTTAAAAATAAATGCTGTTTGTTGTTTTAAAGCTGGTGCTTTAAAAAGTACATATATTTTCAGCATTGCTTGAAAGGCTCTTTGTAATAAAAAGATCATTGTTAATTTCATGGTTTTAAGAACACTACCAATATGTCACTTCCTCTAGAAAATCCCAGGCTTTTCAAGTCAAGGAATGTGCAAATTTATCCGGGCATAATGGTGTACACGTGGGATGCCAGTGCTAAGGCTGAGGCAGGGGGACTGCAATAATTTCGAGGCCAGCTTGGACTACACAGTGAGTTTAAGATCAGCCTAGACTACACAGCAACACCCGTCTCCAAAACAAAGACAATAAATAAAGAAAGAAAGAAATAAAATTTGCAAATCTACAATTGTACAAACCATTGTAATCTTGCACCATAAATAATTACATTTTGGATTTAGGAACTGTAAGTGATTTGCTAAGAACACATTCAAGTAGTTAAGAGAACGCTGTCCAAGGAGAACTGGAGTTTTAGCTGGGAGCCCAAACTTGTCTCCTCCCAGGCGCTACCTCACGCACCACTCCGCAGAGCTAGTAACAGGTCCGTCCAGATGCTAAGCCCAGGGACTTCGAAATCGCCATCCTGCGCCTTGCAGGACTCCAAGACAGTTCGAACCTCATCTTTCAGAGGTGGAGGGGCCTGGCTCAGACTCTGAAACCTGCAGAACAACTCCTCCCAGGGGACGTCTTGGGACTCGGCTCCGACCCAGGCGCCTCTCTGCAGGTCGTAGCACAGCCTTCGACCCCAGTCTGTTAACAGACCCAGGTAGGCACGAGAGAGCGCAGGATGGCGACCCGCTACCGAGGTCAACAGCCCGGCCGGGAGGCGGCAAAAGGCAGCCAGGACTTCCGATCGCTCCAGAAGCCACCGAACTAGCAGAGGACTGTCCTCTCCAGGTGTTTCTGGGCCGCTCCGTCCCAGCTCCTCTTCCGGAGGCTGCAACAGCGCCACGGCCGTCACCTGCAGGAAGCGGTCCCGCGGCACGCGCGTCCACAGGCGGCTGAGCCACCCGCCGGGGCCCCCGGCCTCGGCCTCCCCGGCCTCCCGCAGCCGCCCGAGCAGCAGCTGCGCCTGGGTCAGCAGCACAGGGTCCTCGAGGGGCGCTGGGCTCGCTCCGCGGGTGCCGTCGGCCTCCCGCAGCAACAGGAGCGCGGCCCGGCGGCGGGCCAGGCGGGCCAGGCGGGCCTGCAGCGCCTCTGCGTCTGCATCCTGGGGACCCGCGCCCGGGAAAAGCTGCTGCAGCAAGGCGCGGCCGGCGGCATCGCCCAACGCTGGGCTCCGCAGCAGGTTCACAGACAGCAGGACGTCCCCGCGCCGGAGGGCCTGGAAGCTCGTCAGTCCCCGGACCGGCCCCTCCGGCCCCCACCGGCTGCGCAGCCGCCTTTCCACAGCCGCGCGGATGCTGCCGTGGCTGCCAAAGCGCCGGTAGACGTGGCGCAGGTAGCGAGCCCACTGCAGAGCCCTGCGGACCGTCTCGGGACCCCAGGTGCTCACGTGCTTACTGCGAGACACCGACAGAACCTCGGAGAAGCGCTCCAGCTGCTGCAGGAGGGGCTCCATGGAGCCCGCGAAGGCCTCACTTCCGCATTCACCTTGGAGACGAAGACGCTCTGCATGCCGATTGGAAGATCCTGGAAAATGATCCGCCCTTCGCCAATTCTATTGGCCAGTACCGTTGTCGATCTCCTAGCGGCTTCATCCGGGTTTTTTGACTCAGAGCGTAACGCCAGCGAGAGTCCTGGCCCTTTCCGTTTTGCCGGGATTGTGGAGGTGCTACCTGCAGGGGTCTTGGGCAGAAGGGCGTTTTAGCAGGAGTTTCTGGAGCCTCGTGCAAGATGCTGCCAGAGAGGAAGGTGTCTGCGCTTGTTTTTGCTTTGGAAATATCACCGGGAGGAAATTTTCTGAGTTTTGCCTGCAAGATCTCTGCTGAGGTTTATTAGGCAACCACAGAGACCTGCTACTGTGCAGGAGGAAAAGTTATGAAATCAAATTTAAAGCCACTTTTACTTGGGAAAAATGACTTGGCACCGAATTTATGAATGCCAAGTGCCATCCTAAATTTTGGCCCTTCTTTATTTTTTCTTTCTTTGTTTGCCTTCTTTTGAGACAGGGTCTCCTTGCGTGGCAGTTCTGGCTAGCCTGGGGCTCACTTTGTAATCCAGGCTGGTTTCAAACTCGCAAGGATCCTCCTGCCTCAGCCTCTCAAGTTCTGGGGTTACAGTCGTGTGCCACCACGCCCAGCAACGCTCTTTCATTATTAGCGATGATTAATTGAAACAAAAACATCTACTTGAAACTCAATACTTCATTAAAGTTTTAGAAGAATTTAATGTTTTATTTGAAAGTTGCGTACATTTTCGTATATTTCCAAGGCAAAATATCTTAATTCACTCATCCTTTACAAAGACAGCCGACTGAAAGCAAACAACAAGTATTGTGCTAATGACTGCAAAAGGGGGGGGGGAAGACCTACACTTGAATTTAGATTTAAAATTTGCACTTACTGATGTTTTCCACAAATAATTTGGCAATCCCTACTTTCTGTACTGTCCACTAATCTGTGAATGTTCTCACTCAGTGTCAGTGCTACTACACTAGCTCTTTGAACAGGATGTCTTTCCAGTTCTCTAGATTCTAATCGAAAAGAAAAGGGAGGTGGTCATTTAAAAAAAAATGGAAAGAGACACTTAAAAGGGGGGCATAATTCATTTATTAAAATGCATGTTCCCACACCTTTTAAAAATAAAGCAGTTGTGTTCATACTGTAAACTCTGTTTTCTTGTTTGATTTTTATCAGGGAATGCAAATTCTTACTTGGTCTTGGAGTAATTATTTCTCTTTTATCCTAAATTTATCATGAGTCTTAAAATGATTTGACTTGACTGCTAGAAATTCACGATTCAATGGACAGCCCACCTTTCTGCAACAGTGCACATGTCAGTAATTGGTTTATTTATTTATTTTTTATGTACATGTTGTAGGGTGCTACAGAATTAATGGAAAAGTTGAGAGTTCTACCATGTAAGAGAGAAAGTAATAAATCTGATAGGGCAGAAAGCCTAAGGAACTGATCTATCAATGGAAAGCTTCAAAGATAAATACTAAGAAAAACTGTGAATTTTCATGGCAACCATTCATACTTCTGCAGAGTCTTCCCTTGAAAGAATTTGTTTTGTCTCCTTTTTTTAACTGTTTGTATTTTTTCTCTTAACTTCTTATACATTTCTTTGCTTTTCTCTTGCTACTTTCAATTTTATGTTCATCTGTCTGGCCATATGAGTAACTGGTTGGAAGATAACGTTGTGTATTGCAACAAATACTGTGAAATTCATATTACTTTTTTACATGAAATTCTGTATCACTTGTAAATTTTTCTTTTTTAATTCTAATCTGTACTCTCTTTAAAAAAAAAAAAGAAAAGAAAGAAAGAAAGAGCCATGCCCGTGCAAGGAAGCTAAAGAAGCCTGAAACAGCTGCAGTGAGGCGGGAGGTGAGAATGCACGGCCGCTGTGTGTGCGGGTGAGCTGGTACAGTGGAATAACTTGAAATCCTTACGCACATGTGTCCATGCCCAGTGACATGCCTGTAATTCCTACTTACTTCCCATTAACCTACACTTATTAAATAAACACACTGTCTAAAGATTTCTCCTCTGAAAGGAAGAATAATCTAGGCTTTGGAGTTGCTCCCCCCTATGTTGCATTTAATCCAAGAAAACTCAAAGAGCTCCTATTAAAAAAAAAAAGAGCTTTATTAAGCTCCTACTGAAAGAAAGTACTAGAGGTTGAAAGGAGGTGATGGCAAAATTTCTCACTTCAAGCAGCCTAAATTCCTGACACAGGGTGACAAGGGGAGCAGAAGGACTTAACTACAATGAGTCAGATTTTGTGTATTTTGAAAATTGCAGGAGGTCTAGGGATATAGCTCAGTGGCACAGTGCCTGCTTGGCAAGCACGAGGTGCTGAGCTCAATTCCTGGTACCAAAAAAAGAAAAGAAAATTGTAGGAATAGCTATGAGAGACTAGATATAAACTGGCATGAGAGTTCATGTATGTATTCATTCCTTACATCATTATTTTACTATAGGGTATCTCATACCTTATATGATGCCTGTTTAGCCCTGTTATGATTTGGGTCTAGTTGTGCCCCCCAAAGCCTCATGCAGTCATGGGGCATACTTCAAGAGTTTGTGAATAACTCGTAATCCACTGGGATTATGGGTGTAAGTGCTGCTGGGATAATGGGTCTAAATGCTCTCCCTCACCCCACCCCCCACGAGGGGCAAATAGCCTGAATGCTGTTTAAGGGAGAGAGCCTTGCTCCCTGCAGCCATTGTTGCTGTTACTCCTCCCCTTTGCTCTTGCTGTTTTGTGGCCATTTCACCTCCTTGAACTGTCGCCCTCTGCCATGTGGTACTCTGCCTTGTAGCCTGCTGAGTATGGACTGAAACCTCCAGTAACTGTGAGTGAAACCTTTCCTTCCTTCATTTTAGGTGTTGCAGATTTAGTCCTAGCAATGAGAGAAGAGTAGCCAAGACAAGCCCTTAACATGTTTAAATAAATCATGAGATAAAGTAAAATCCAAGTGAGGGAAATAAGAGGGTAGCTCGTCAATATCTGAATATGTATGCCACTGTAGCAGAAAATACTCCCCACTCCATCCAGTACACTTCAGTTTGTTAGTTGTCCAGGTAAAATAGTTCTTGTTCCAGATCCAGTTGCTTCTGGTCACTTAGAAACAGCTGGCTACTTCTCCACTGTTGGTAGGACTGTGTACACTGGTACAACCACTGTGGAAATGAGTGTGGAGATTTCTCAACAAAAAACTAGGACTAGAAGCCCTGTGTAACCCAGCCGTTTCCCTTCTGGGTACTTTTTAGAAGGATTGAAACCATCATACCACAGCAGCATACGTGCATCCGTGTTTATAGCGGCATAAATTGTAATAGCTGAATCATGGAAACAACCCAAATGCCCATCAACCAAGAAATGGATACAAAAGATGCATTTTTTACACATTGGAATATTACTCAGCTATAAAGAAGTATAAACTTCAGGCTTTTATAGGAAAATGGATGCAACTAGAGACCATACTCACACATGAAATAAACCAGACTTGCATGTATAAGTATTGTATTGACTCCTTAGTGTGAGAAATTGAAAGAATAAATAAGATTTAAAAGGCACAATAGATATTGTGAAAGGGAAAGAAACTGCTCAAAAGGAAAGAACTGGAATGGGGAAAGGATAAAAGAAAAAAAAATATATATATATGCATACACACAAGATAGCTAAGATAATTGTACTACTAGTTTCTATTAGTTCATTGAAAGCAAGTAAGTGCTGAAGTTGATTGATCAATTTTGCATGCCTATATCTTGTAATCTGAGCAACTACTTATAAAGATAACTATATGTAATGTAATAATGATTGTTAATATCCTATCATCTTGTTTTAAACTTCTGCATTGTTCTATTGTTTTTTCTCTCTTTAAAATGAAGAAAAAAATACAAAATACAAACTAATAATAAAATAAAGAAATAAAATATGGAGTGACTGGTCACTGGGGTTCATTGTGGATCACTGTGATGAACATTTTATAAACCAATTCCCTACTAACAAGCCATCTGTCTCTGTACTTCCTGCTTGCTTGTCTCTTATCAGCCCTAGACCACCAGAGATTGGGGTCTGATATTTTGGAAATGATCCTGATCAACGCCTGAGGACCACATGAATCTGCCTCCAAATCCTGGGTGTCTTTTTTGTGTTTCTGCTAGTAGTGGTACCACGTGCTGTGAATATGAAGAACATTCTCTTGGCTTCTGGCTGTAATTTTTAACTTCCTGGAATATAATGAATTATAATGAATAATGAATATAAGGAATTAGGGCAGACAAGAGAAGGACAAACCTTAGGAGATTTCATTACATTAAAGTATCATTCAAACCATCAGAGGCAAGCAACATAAACTAAGAAAAAGAGCCTTTCACAAAGCACCTACCTCTGGGAAAAATTAAATGCAATCATACACATACCATGCTTATTTGGATTTTGTAAAAGCTAATACTAGCTTTTACATAATAACCATGTAGTTTGAGGTACTAACCACAGCATAGCTCAATAGGTAGGTCTGATAATCATCATCATTTAGGGGCCCAACTTTACAGCTTTCATACCATTCCCAAATGATAGGAATTTCTTCAGAAAGGGCCTGGACAGTGAATTTCATTCAATCGGGCATAAGGAATTTAGAGGAAATTTTTCTTCTTTATTTTAATGACAGTAAGTAATCATTGACATGCATGGAAAGTCACAATAGACCATGAGCATATACAAGATGGGTATGGTGAAGGCTTACATGATGGTTTCTTCCTTCCTTTTGACATTGGTATACATCTGGGTATAGCCAAAGTTGTCGCAGACCTTCCCCACAACCAAAATCATCTCAGACTCAAAGAAATACTGGATTTCCACAGCCATGAATTTAAACCTCTTCATAATTATGTAACCCTATTCAGGCCCAACTGCTTTTTGAGTTAAACAGTTTCAACAAGGCTTTATAGTTATTAAAAAATGATTTTTTTTTTCAGAACTGGGTATTGAACTCAGATCCTTGCACTTGCCAGGGAAGCGCTTATTCTACT